TTCTTATAAGATGGATAGCAAATTCAAAACACGTTAGCAAAAACAAAATTTAAAAATACAGCTTACTCCAATACTCTATTTTTAAATTCCCAAAATGCTTTAGCCAAAAAAGTTAGAAAGAAAATTAAGGAAGAGAGAAAAAATGAAAAGAAAATTGAAGTGAGAGGCATAAGATGAATGCATAATAAATTCCTTTTCTAACAGGTGGGATCAACAATATAATTCTTAACACTGATTACTAAACAAAATATAAACTATGAAAAGTTAAATGTTGATATCAATAGAAGTACTAGAAGACTCTTCAAAACAAAATGCATGTAAACCAAATTTTAAAAATGTACATAACAAAACATACATGTGGCATATATATGTCAAATATACCACAGCTTAAAGACAAACAGCATGAAACAAGGTAGAAAAATGTGAACAAAAATAGGCATACATGTTTTCAATTTCCTGATTACTAAAGCAATACTTGTAGCTTGAATTTAATATTGAATAATATGCTTTCAAACATGTTAGGTGTATTTACAAAAAATGATAAAAATAGCAGATCTCATGGGAAAAATAGGGTTGATTACTAGACTTCTGCAAATATATGCAACTTTATGAACAGGCTCTTTCAAAAACATTGTAACAACCTTTAACAATGGGTGACCGTAAGATCACAGACACACACACATAATATATATATACACACACACACACACAGATATATGTATTCTTCTATGTATTCTTTGCTATGGTAAATTTAAAAGTGTATCATTAAAAAAATGAGAAACAACCAGTCATTGTGCATCTTCTAGTGAAATGGCACTATTCATATCTACCCAAGACACTAGATTTAGCTAGTAGTTTATAGAAATACAGGAGACACAAATCATGTTAACTTCTTGAGGATATAATCAACAAAATCCAGAATTTGTGAACAAGTATAAGGCACCAAATTTCTTCACCAAAAATTCACAAGGATGAAAGAAAAAGGAAAGCGATGGTGTAGAACAAAAAAGACGGAGAAAATAAAAAAGTGTCAACAAAATTCATTGTATAGGCCTTGGGTGGATCCTGATTCAATTATTCCAATTATTGAAGATAATTATGAAACAATTAGAGAAATTAGATCATTTACTGTTTATTCGATAACATGAAGGTATTATTATTTTTCTCTTGATAATGGCATATGACTTATGTTTATAAAATATGACTATTTTTAGAAATTAAAATTGAAGTATTTATGGTTGTGGTTCATGATGCTTGGGATTGGTTTCAAGACATCTTGAGCTAGAGGAAAATTGGTGAAGGCCTTGACAAAGCAAACTTGGCCATACTTTGATTACCATTGAAGCTAGGTGATTTTATTAAACTACCCTATTTACTTTTGCATGTGTTTGATATTAAAAAGACAAAATGAAAAGAAGGAAGAATAAGGAAGTGCTTTGCATGAGAGTTCAGGCAACTGAGTTTTGGAGACAAGGGAAACTTCACGAAGTATGACGAGAACAGCAAAAAATGCACTTTGCTTCCAAAACAGAGCAAATGTCCAAACCGATCCAAAAGAAGGAAATGGGTACATAGTGTATAAAATTCATATGCAGCTTACTGCATTCAGCTATGTTGGAACACCACTTCCTTATTCTTCCTTCTTTTAGTTTTGTCTTTAAAAAAAAAATTCTTTGTAATGGAAAATATCAAACACATAAAAAAATATATAGTACAGTTGAATGAAATCACTTAGCCTCAGTGGTTATCAAAGTATGGCCAAGTTTGTTTCATCAATACATTCAGCAACATATTCCAACAGACTGTATATAAGAAAAGATGAACAATGACAATTAAATCGGTAGTTAAAATGAATCAAATTAGGTAAAGGAGTTCATTCATTTTACTTTGACAAAATATACCTATGTATATGTATACCTATGTATAAAATTCACAAACACTTATAGATGTCTCTTACCATAGAAATAAGCAACTACAAATTATTTTTCAATGAATTTATATTTATTATTCAGAGGCATTCTTATAGTTTCTTGATTTTAAAATAACTGAAAGTAGCTTTTTTAATCCAACACTTCAATTTTTGAGTGACTCTTTCATTTCTTTCCATGATTTAAAGTATGTCTTTTTATTTTTCCTATATAAGATTCATGGGTAATATAATGCCTTATATTCTCTTTCCATCATCTTTACACAAGAATTTCACCTTGAATATGTCTAAGTTCTTCTTTTAGTGTTTCAGTGATATATGTATTTTTTTATTATGTTTTTCTCTCAAAATTTTGTGATATTCCCTTATTGTCATATGAAATTTAGTGTCAAAAACTTCATGTTTTTGTATCTGTGAAGACATCTTTCCTCAGCTTTTTAGAATTAAAAGTTTCAGTGGGACATACTGTATGTGCTGCCATTATTCACCTTGTTACAAGAAGAAATATTTGATCACTCAGTTTTATGATTATTGATTTTACTCAATATCCTTTTCTAGGAATAGGTATTAGTAGCAAGTTGAAATTTCATGATTAGCTATAAATGTTCATTTCCTTATGGGGTTTTTCCAACTTTGTCTCTTACAATATTTATCTTAATTTTTAAAAACATCATGTTTTAATTATTTTCTGCAAGAGGCATCAACAAATATTTGGATATTAATTTTACCATTTAGTGTCAATTCATAATATGGATTTGATTAAAACAGTGTGACATCAACACAGATTATGTAAATGCAAATAGTACAAATCAAGTTATATTTTGTATAGATCATACCATAAATATTATAGCTTGTATGGTATGTTGTGTTTTCTAATGAGTCAGTATGCTAGTAATGGAAACACTTCTTCATTTATTCTAAATTAAGCACAGATATACATGATAATTGAATTTGGGACCTAGTACAATAATTACATTATTTCAGATTAATGTAGTTAAAATATACATGTTATCAATGAGTTGGTTTTGTAAATTTAGTTGGTATAATTAACTAACATATTCAATAATATAAATTCCTTGAAACCTATAGCAACCTCTTTTCCCATCATTAAATTTTTATTGCGCACCCTAATGTCCAGGATCCTTCTATTGGTTGTTATTGTAAGAGATTTCCCATGGATAGAAAGTAATTACAGTATTTTCTTGTTGTTGAAGAGAGTTACCAAATGAATTTATCTTTTACCAAACTATACTTCTTAAAAACACACTCCTAGTACAAAGACAATTAATCCTGGTTTAGTAGGAATTTACATTCTCTTCCTCCCACAACTTCATGTTCTATACAGCCTATAATACCAAAACAGTGTTTTATGTTATTTGAATTGACAGTTCACTTGAAGAAAATTCCTAGGATCTATTTTTGGCTGCTTTGGGACATGAAAGGCAGTGTGGTTCCATTAGATGGATGCCAAATAGGGATAGCGTTGTCTCCAGTTTTACCATAGAGTTGGATATAAAAACCTTTACTTTCTTCCATCTGTCCTTCATGGTTAAAAGCGTGAATCCTGGAGCTATACAGTGCTGAATTTAAATTTTGATCCAGTAAGACTGACTGTATGATTTAAGATAAATTAATTCAATTCTGCGACTAAATTTCTTTTTAAAAATGTTCATAATAATCATATATCACAACACATAATAGAAAGTGACTAGCAAATAAGCATTTAATGGGAATATATTTGTTATTCCTGTTGTCATGGCTATCATCAATGTTTATGCCTAATATATCAAGTTTTAAAATTGCTTAGTCTTATCCTCCACCACTAATTGATGATATTATAACTTGAAAACATCACTATTTCACTAATCTACTTTAAAAAAATTCTTCCTTTTTCAATCCATCCCTCTTTGTTCTTTGAATCACTTGTTACTATGTATAAATTTGAGGAGAACCCCTTAAATTTGTTTCCAGTATTTTTTATATTCCTTTTGCTCAGTGTGCTTGATAAACTGTTGATAGTCTTAAATGATGCTGCAAGTGCACACTAAATGCTGACTAAGGTAAATACATCAACTATTAAGGACAAGTTGAGTTCGAGCCCTTTCTTCCTTGATGTGGAGTTGTGAGAACACCACTGAAAAATATTGTTCCTTGAAATTATATTTACTAAGGACAGTAAACAAAATCATAGCAATATATCTTGTTCCAAACATTTTAGCATTTAAATCACGAAAAAATATTTCTTTACCAAGCAACACTACCGAATAGGGAGGTATCCAAATGGGCCATTGTCTAGATATTTGATGCAAAAACAGATTCCAAGGATTGAGAATTAAATGGGGAAATAAATGAGAATTTCTTTGATTTGTGATTATCTCTTTATTGCTATAGAGCATATTATTCCTACATTAAACAATTTATGTGTGTTTAAGGGGTGCTTCCCATTGCTTGAAAAGGTCAGTCTACCTAAGTAGGGCAAATGAGCATTTGCTGAATCAAGAGGGTGACTTGAACTTTCTCACTGCTTTTTTTTCCAGCAAGAGAGGGAAGGGTTTCAATCTATTGTGCCTAGGAATTCAGACACACACCCTAGTATGTGCCCAGCATACTCTGTGAAAGCAGTCTGACACTGGTTTTAAAACCTTAAAAAGGCAGTTGTAACTATAACCAGAGTTACCCTTTATAATGTAATTGATAGATCTACTATGAGTCAAATAGTTGATGAGAAGTGTAGCAGAGTCATTAAGGAAACAGGTTTGGGGCTAGACAATAGTTCATTATCAAGGTCCATCACTTACTAATTTTTTGACCTTGATTAAGAAGTATGACCTCTCAAGCTCTCATTTTCTTCATCTATTCATTGGGAGTTAACCCATACCTTATAAGGAAATGTTGCAAGTAAAGTGAAATTATATAAATAAAACTCTCATAGAGCAAGGCACTCAGCAAGTGCCTCTAAATGGCAGCTTCTGTTCATTTTAGTTGTTTTTAATATTAAAGCAACACACAGTACAACATATTTATTATCCTTGCAAAATGAGTAATGTAATGTTTCATGTGTTTTCACTTGCAGGAATTGAAAACTCTGTCACTCCCAGAAGACATTACAAACTATGAAGGTAAGAAATGTTTATTATTGCTGATAATATTTGGTATTTCCAGATTGTTTTTTATGTAAATCTCCTGCTGGAGACATGACATGACTCTAATCAAGAATTGGTCCTTTAGGCATTAATTTTTGTTCCTGTTCTAGAAGAGGAGCAATAGAGACAGGCAAAATAATATTCCTAATTAAGTTAATCATGCCTAGTTAATCACAAGGTGCATAAATTCATCTCTGTACTGCATGAGTCTAGAAGCTGCTTAGTGGGAAACTACACATTTCTCATTTGAAATTAAGAAAATTACAGGCAAAATACATTTGAGATTTTGCCTAGACATATTTTGCTCTGATTTGATTTTAATAGAACAGGTCTGACAAGAATAAGGTCATAGTACTCTTAATGCAACAGTTTCTAACAGTCAATAAGATCAATTTGACATATTTCATTATCCTTATAAATTAGAAGGAGCTGTTGGGGCCTGCATAGAAATGATGGCAGAGAGCTTAGCACATCTGCTGTTTGACCTGTTGAACTTAACAGTTCAGACTGTAAGAATTGCACTCTGCTAGCAATCTTGGCATCTTTTTGCCAGATTTTCATTTCAATTGGTATATTTTATTATAGCAAGACAGCACACTTTTTCCAAAACTTGATACTTATCCTGTTTGTATTCTAACCTTTTCCATAATATAGGTGAGAATATCAACTATATGTCTTAGTAGTATACCAATCTTAGATAGAAATGTTTGTAGCAGTTTTGAAGAGGGTAAAAATAAAGTGAAATTATATAAATAAAACTCTTATAGAGAATGGTGTACATGCCCCCAAATGACAGCCACTATTATTGTGAAATGTTTTGCATATTTAAATGGCAAACACAACATATTTGTTTTCCTTACAAAACAAGTAATCTGACATTTCATTGCCACTCACAAAGATATCAGATACCATCAATTTCGAAGATGCAGAAAAGGATAAAATTACAGGGAATTAAAATGACTATTGCCTTTTCTTTAGGTCTGTTTGATTAAAGAGTATGGGACTTCTTGTTTTGCTTCTTTCCTCTGTTTCATTATCTATAACCATATTCAGGGATTCCTTTTGTGGTGAGCCTTTGTCTACCTGAAGTCTAGCTTTCCGTAAGGTAAGATCAATTTAGAAAGGAAAAACTTATGAAAAGATGCGGCATTTCCTGAGTATATTTAAAAATATTTTTTTATATAACAAGCTTGTGAATAAATCCAGTATTTATTGAGTGCCTACAGAATTTTTATCTGCACCTTTGGCAACATATTTAACACCAGTTCAGCTATATGCTGCTGCGGTATATATTAAGCACAGGGAAATATCAGTTTGGGTCAGGAGACACATTTGGTCTTTCTTCAAGAGTTCTCTAGGCTCTTCCCATGTGAAGTGGGCAGAGCATATTTTCTGTAACATAGTGAATTGTTATGGCCCAACTTGGAAATATCATTAACTTCCTGCAGGCTATTATGTTGGTCTTTTTCAAAAAGAATAATTTTTATCAAAGTGTGATTAATTTATTTCTTATGAGGCTCATTAAATGACTAACATTTTGAGCAGAGTTTAATAGAGCTTGAGTTGTCATTTTTAAGAGTTCACTATTAGTTGATTTAAGTTAAGAGATGCTACTAAAAAGTGTATTTTTGCTGATTCCATTTAAATTAATGTAGTGGGACTTGCCTAACTCACTTCTCAGTTGTGTGACCTTGATCATGTTGTTTAACCTTTTAAACCTCATCCTCCTCAAAAATATACTGGCAAAAAGATGAAAGCTTTTCTTCTAAGATCAGGAACAAGACAAGGATTTCTCCTCTCAATACTTTTATTCAGCATAGTACCAGAGATCCTAGCCACAGCAACTGATTACTGCTAAAGAGATAAAAGGCATCCAAATTGGTAAGGAAAAGTTAAATTGTCACTACTTGCAGATGACATGATATTATACATAGAAACCCCTAAACACTCCACCAAAAAACTATTAAAACTAATAACTAGATTCGACAAAGTTGCAGCATACAAAACTGATACACAGAAACCTGTTGCATTCCTGTATACTAACAACAGACTAGCAAAAAAGGAAATCAGGAAAATGATTCCATTTATAATTGGATTAAAAAAAAACCCAAACCTAGGAATAAACCTAATTAAGGAGATGAGAGACCTGTACACTGAAAACTATAACATACTCATGAGAGAAATGAAAGAAGACACCAATAAATGGAAGTTTATCCTGTGTTCATGAATATGATGAATTAATATTGTCAAAATGACCATCTTGCCTAAAGCAATTTACAGATTCAATGTAATCTCTATCCAAATACCAATAGCATTTTTCAATGAACTAGAGCAATAATCCTAATATTTATATAGAATCACAAAAGACCCCAAATAACTAAAGCCATCCTGAGAAAAAAGAACAAAGCTAGGGGTATTATGCTTCTTGACTTCAGGCTCTACTACAAAGCTACAGTAACCAAAACAATATTGTATTGGCCCAAGAACAGACCCAGAGATCAATGGAACAGAATAGAGAGCCTAGATATACACCCGCACATATATGGTCAATTAATATATGATAAAGGAGCCATGAATATACAATGTAGAAAATACAGCCTCTTCAATAACTGGTGTTGGTAAAACTGGACAGCTACATGCAAGAGAATGAAACTGGGTTACTGTCTAACTCTATACACAAAAGTAAACTTGTAATGGATCATAGACCTAAATATAAGACATTAAACTGTGCACTTTTAGAAGAAAACTTAGGCAAAAATCTCTTAAACATAAACATGAGCAATTTTTCCTGGACACATGTCCTTGGGCAAGAAAAACAAAATAAAAAATGAACAAGTGGAACCAAAACAAACTAAAAATCTTTTGTAAAGTAAATGACACCATCAGCAGAAAAAAAGGTCACCCTACAATATAGGAAAATATATTCATAAGTGACTTATCCGATAAGGGGCTAACATGCAAATATATAAAAAACACACATGTCTCAATGCCTGCAAAACAAATAACCCAATTAAAAAATGGGTGGAGAACCTGAACAGAAACTTCTTCAAAGAAGAAATGCAGATGGCCAATAGGCACATGAAAAGATGCTCCACATCGCTAATCATCAGGGAAATGCAAATCAAAACCACAATGAAATATCACCTCACACCAATTAGAATGGCCACTATCCAAAGGAAAAATAATAGCAAATGTTGGTGAGGATGTAGAAACAGGAACCCTCCTATACTGTTGGTGGGAATGCAAATTGGTGTAAACACTGTGGAAAGTAGTATGGAGGTTCCTCAAAAACCTAAAAATAGAAATACCATTCCACCCAGTAATCCCACTTCTAGGAATTTACACAAAGAAAAAAAAAGTCTGATTTGAAAAGATGTATCTCTCTGTTTATTGCTGCATTATTTACAATAGCCAAGATGGAAACAAACTAAGGTGAATAGGTAATGAAGATGTGGTACATATGCACAGTGGAATATTATTTAGCCATAAAAAGATGAGAAATCCTCCCATTTGCAATAACATGAGTGGATGTAGAGGGTATTTTTCTAAGTGAAATAAGCCAGTGGAGAAAGATGAATACCATGTGATTTTACTTATTTGTGGAATATAAAAACAAAACAGGACAAAATAGAAGTACTCTCACAGACACTGAGAAGTGACTGGTGGTTACCATGGAGGAGGGGTTGGGCTGAGTGGGTGGGGAAGGTGAGGGCGATAAAGCAGCACAAAAATTCTCCATCATAATATAAGTTGGTCACAGGAATACAGCATGGAGAATATAGTCACTAATTCTGTAACATCTTCCTATGTTGACAGATGGTAACTGCACCAGTGGGGTAAGGATTTAATGATATGGGTATCTGTTGAACCACTGTGTGGTATACATAAAACTAATATAATATTGTATATCAATGATACGTCAATTTAAAAAAAAAACTAACAGTAGAAACAAACAAGAAAAAAAGGTAAATTGGCAAAAATAATAGTTTTTCTAAAATGGTTATTTTTGAGTACTAAACCAAGATAAATAATATAACATGCTTTACATAGTGACATAATATGCACTCGATATGTCATTTGATGATAGTGAAAAAGGATCTTTACCTTAGTGCTTTTAAAAACATTTTCATGTAGTTCTCTGAGACAAGTCTCACAGTGCTGTGAAAATAAGGCAGAGAAGCAGAGAAACAAATGAACATTACAGGAGCCCTGTCGGGGTCGGCAGGGGGAGGGGGTTCTTCAAGGAGCTCCATGGTCCTCATCACTGTCTAGGCTAAGGGACAAGAGGCAGGTGAGGATACGGAGAGGTCTGTTACGAGTCTGATCATATCTGCAGTGAGTTGCCTCTGCATATTCTTTACACATTGAAAACAAAGCTAAACAATGATGATACAAGTAGACCAGGATCCAGATTCCAGTTAGTATAGTAAGAAGAATATTGGTATCATTGGCTCACACATAAAAGCTTTCAGCAGTAAATCACCCTACTTTCTGCTTTAGTAAGGATTAATCTTGCAGTTTTAATTTATTTATTGCCTATTTTTCTCTCCAATACTCCTTAGTAGAATTAAACCTTCAAGCTCCAGTGAAGGTGGCTGGGATTTCATTATTTTTATGCCTCTTCAAATTATTTAACACCCAGTTTTCTTCTAGATTTCCATTTGAATTTATTTTAAAAAACAAGTGTGTTGCTCTCACTGGTGAGGAAAGAATGTTAGCAGGGAAACAGGAGAAAAACATGAAAACTCATTAGAAGAAGAACATTCGTTTTTGTAATGCCATTTAGGGTGTGACAGATTTGACGGGAAAGCACTGATGGAATATACAAGCGTGCAAATTCAGTTTGTATACGGAGTAATGGCCATTTCCCGAAGAACTGTTAACTCTCATCTACTGAGTTAGGGTGCCTCATTTGTCTTTCCTCTATCAGGAAGTTCATTTGCAGATATTTCAAAGACTTACATTGGTTTTAAGAT